CCTATATGCATCCTCGAGTCGCTCCTTCGCCGGCGCCGCCGTCACATATGCGTCAGTCTGCCAACGGATACGGACCTCCCCCAAATGAATATAACAACCACCGCCCTCCTCCACAGTGGCAGCCAAATGGGCCTTATCATCATTCTCAACCACCGCCTCAGAACCTTCCTCGCCCTTACCCGGGCCGCCCCCAATACCCTCAGCCCCAACGCCTGGACTCAAGGCCCAGCCCAATGCAACCACCTTACCCAAACAAAGTTCCTGGCAGGCCTCTTCCCCCCCCAGCACTGAACTCGGATCAATACAGATCTCGTTCCTTGGCTCGAATGGGTGGCCCCCCTATGTATCATCAACCTCCTCCCCCGAGTAACTTCAACCATACGTCGGCAAACGCGTTTCGACAACAGCCATACCACCACCCAGGTTCCATGACTCCACAAGGCCGGGTTGTTCCGGAAAGGCGTGACGACGAACGCTCCATGTCCATGAGTTCTTATACGTCGAACTTCGATCATGCCCAGACTATCAACTCAGGACGGATTGTTCCAAGTAGGCGTCGAGAGTCGGGTATGGAAAGAGAGCGGATAGAGCCACCACTTGCAGGGCAACCCATTTTAGAACAGCCTATTCCTCCGATGATTCATGGACAAGATCCGCATGCTAGAATAAGACGCCCGAGTGAAACATCGATCAACTCTCGCACATTTTCCATGGCATCCACTGTCACCCCGGAACGAACTACTAGCCTACAACCTGGCAACTCCGTCGTGCCTAAGCCGGCGAGTCAACCACATCCCACACCACATCATAATCGTAGATCTCCTCTCGTCTATCCTGCTTTGCTTTCCCGGGTGGCTACTGTGTTCAGAGAAAGGATCTCGGTTGGAGAACGGCTTAAAAATGATCTAGCATACACTAACGCTTTCACCGGGGCGGAAGCGGTCGATTTGATATCCTACATTATCAAAACGTCTGACCGCAATTTGGCCTTGCTGCTTGGCCGTGCGTTGGACGCTCAAAAATTCTTCCACGATGTCACTTACGACCATCGGCTAAGAGACGCTCCAGGAGAGTTATACCAGTTTAAGGAAACAATGGGCGAAGAAGATCCAGTTTCCGAGGTCAACGGCGTCTTTACCCTACTTACAGAGTGCTACTCTCCAACATGTACGAGGGATAAATTATGCTATTCCATTGCCTGCCCAAGGCGACTTGAGCAGCAGGCACGGTTGAACCTTAAACCTCAGCCTGGATTAAGATCCTCCGCGTCCAAGGGAAGCTTGCATGACAAGGATGACAACGATGACCAGAAACTCTGGATCAATATGGTTCCCAAAGAGGTTGCTGACAGCATTGATGACCGGGAGAAGAAGCGTCAGGAGGTCATCTTCGAGATCATGTATACTGAACGTGATTTCGTTAAAGACTTGGAATACTTGAGAGATTTCTGGATGAGGCCCTTGCGGTCTGCCAACAATACTAACCTTTCCCCGGTTCCGGAACACCGCCGGGAAAAATTCATTCGAACAGTATTTTCAAACTGTTTGGAGGTCTTGGCTGTTAACTCTAGATTGAGCGAAGCTCTGAATGCTAGACAGAAGGAGTCCATTATAGTGAAGACAGTTGGAGACATTTTTCTCCAATTTGTACCACGTTTCGATCCCTTCATCAAATATGGTGCTAATCAGCTGTACGGAAAATACGAGTTTGAAAAGGAACGAGCATCGAATCCCGCATTTTCCAAGTTCGTTGACGAGACTGAACGTCTCAAGGAGTCAAGAAAGCTCGAGTTGAATGGGTACCTCACCAAACCTACGACTCGATTGGCAAGATATCCGCTGCTTTTGGAACAAGTTGTGAAGAACACTGCGGATGATAATCCCGACAAAAAGGATATCCCCAAAGCTATTGCTATTATTCGAGATTTCCTCTCCCGCGTCAACACGGAGAGTGGAAAAGCTGAGAACCATTTCAACTTGGTGCAACTGAATATGGCCTTGAAATTTTCGCCTGGAGACTATGTTGACTTGAAGCTCACCGAGGAAAATCGAGTGATGTTGACCAAGATGGCTTTCAAAAAAGGTCCAACTGACTCGGCTGAGGTTACTGCATATCTATTCGACCACGCAGTTCTATTGGTTAGGATTAAGGCAGTCAATAAGCGAGAAGAATACAGGGTGTACAGAAAACCTATCCCTCTTGAACTTCTCGTTATCACCCAAATGGAAGAAGTACTCCCGAAACTAGGCCTCGCAAAACGACCCTCTGGAAACCTTATCTCGGGTGCCAAGGCTACCAGCAATACCCCCACTTCCTCCAAGGACGGCTTTTCCATCACGTTCCGACATCTCGGCAAGGGAGGCTACGATCAAACTCTATATGCTACTTCCTCGACGCAGCGAAGGAAGTTCATCGAGCTTGTCGGGGAACAGCAACGAAAATTAAGGGAAAGGAATAGCAACTTTTACTCAAAGACCATCCTTTGCGAGAAGTTTTTCACTTCTGTTAATCGAGTTAACTGTTTGGTGCCTATTGGTAAGCACATTCATTTTTTTCTTGTTTGTATAATTTGGAAATCCCCTTGTTAACTCGTGTGAATTCTATGTAGATGGCGGGCGAAAATTGGTCTACGGCACCGATAGTGGCATATACATTTCAGAGAGATGGCCAAAGGACAAGTCGGCTAAGCCACGGCGCGTCCTTGACGCAAGCGGTGTGACTCAAATCGACGCCCTTGAAGAGTACCAGTTACTCTTGGTGCTTGCCAACAAGACTCTGAGCTCCTATTCGATGGAAGCGCTGGACACCAGTGAGAATCAGAACCCGTTGGTGCGTCGGCCAAAGAAAATCCAAGGACACACGAACTTCTTCAAGTCTGGGATTGGGCTCGGGCGACACCTCGTCTGCTCAGTGAAGACATCTGCCTTGTCGACGACAATCAAGGTGTATGAACCTGTGGAGAATCTTGCGAAGGGAAAGAAAAAGCCGTTGAGCAAGATGTTCCAAAGTGGCCAGGATGCCTTCAAACCCTTCAAGGTTAGCTTTATTTCAATATATTATATCATTCTTTTCCCACATTTTTTCCTGCTAATCTTCTATTCCTAGGAATTTTACATTCCTGCGGAATCTTCATCCGTCCATTTCTTGCGAGCAACGCTCTGTGTTGGTTGTTCTCGTGGCTTCGAGGTTGTCAGTCTCGAAACCACTGAAAGACAATCACTCCTAGACCAAGCAGATACGTCCCTCGATTTCGTCGCTAGGAAAGAGAACGTAAAACCCATCCACATCGAACGGATGAACGGCGAGTTCCTCCTCAACTATAGTGACTTCTCCTTCTTTGTCAACCGCAACGGCTGGAGAGCTCAACCGGACTGGAGAATAGCTTGGGAAGGGAACCCGGTGGCATTCGCGTTATCGTACCCGTACATTCTCGCCTTCGAATCAAGCTTTATTGAAATCAGGCACATTGAGAGCAGTGAGCTAATCCATGTCATGACGGGACGAAATATTCGGATGTTGCATTCATCTACGAGAGAGGTATGTCTACGGTTCTTTTTTTTTTTTTTTTTTTTTTTTCCTCGTATAGGATACCCATTTGGCTAACGCACATTTTCTCAGATTATTTATGCATATGAAGACGAAGCGGGCGAAGATGTAGTGGCTAGCCTGGACTTCTGGAACAAGCCCGCATAAGCTGTCATGAACGGGGGAGGAAACCTAGAAAGTAAGAAGAGAAAACAATCACCAAAACAAAACACAAAAAAAAGTTGGTTTTTTTTAGATACTTTTTCTTGCCCGCCTGTCTGCCCCAGATGATCTTCGACGAACATTTCGTTCAAGCTTTGGTCCACAAACATTTTCCAAACTATCTTGTCGTCCTATTTATTTTTGATAGAGGTCCTATGTACGCATTCTTTATTTCTCCCTTCCCACGCAGAATTACACGTACAACCATTGGCGAGAATACCCACGTTACTTCTTGACTTCTATTCTATTTCTTGTTGCTACTCCTTACTTCCTCCCCGTCGTCGTCAATTCATACCATTAAATTTGTCTTCGTCCCACATTCCTCCCTTTCAATCCAGCTTGTTTTATTTTCCCCCGCCTTTTTTTTTTTTTTTTTTTTGTTATTATTAATTTCCTTCTCATTTCTCTTCGCGCTCTTTGGTTCTTCACTTTTTATGTTCCTTTTTTCCAGCTCCCTTATAATCTTATTCTACCACTTGTCCCCCCCCTTTTTTTATCATATTTATCTTCGACTGTTACTTCCCACATCCTGTCCCCTTTACCCACTAGAGCAATTTTTACTTTACCTTATCAAAGAGTACCTATCTCATGAAGTCAACCAACCTTTTTTTTTCCCGCTCGTCCCCCATTTTATTTTGTTTTGGCCGTGTTCCCCCGCGCTTGCTTTTTTATACCTGTTGTGTGTTTGTGTGCGTGTGTACATTTCACGTTTGTTATGTGAGCACATCTATTAATTTCCGAGAGTAATTTGCTGCTTTTCGTTTGGTTTCTTTTCTCTTTCTTTTTGATTGCTTCGAGGTTTCCACCAAATCAGAAATTTTTTATATTCCATTGATCTGATTCAACTCTTGATGAGTATGACTTTGAGACTTTTTTTATATTTAAAACTAAGTTATTCTTTATTTAGTATTCCTATTGGATTGGTTTTTTTTTCCTTTTTTTTTTTTCTTCCCTCTGGGAATTGCGTCTTTTTGTCTTCCCCATCTGTTTCCTTTAAGCTATCAATGATCTATTTTTATTTTTCATGCTACTAACTTCTTAAGATCTACTGCTGCTGCTGCTGCGCCTTACCATTGTTGAATGATGTTTCATTTAATCAACATCCTATCCCGAGGGTTCAAGTAGTTTTGTAGATCCACCACATGAATTATTATTCTCGAGGAAAATAGCTATAGTTAGCTAGGTACGCATTCATAAAAGTGCTTTTATGAGCTACTAAGTTAGGTAAGGTCTGTGGATGAAAATGAAACCTCCCTGGCGATACTTTGCTTAATTTTCTTAATTTATTTTATCTCATAGAATTTGTAAGTACTGTACATGTAGATATATAACTACTTGAAGATAGGAGGGCTATATTTCCAACGGCGTGACAATAAACCGGGTAAATTGTGGACGTCAAGGGACCCCAAGTAAGTGTCTTCCTAGATGAAGTGCATGTACATGTACATGTGATTGATGATCATATATCATTTCTTTCTCATTCTTCACAATCATCTCTCCCTGTTCAGCCTACTTTTTGACTTTTGCAGAAGAAGAAAAGGATGATATCAAGTGTGACCCGTTAAATCTGCTGGAAAATTGATGAATACTCTTTGCCATGGGCAAAAAAGCCATGCTCTGCTTCAGCTTTTACTATTTTTCAGAACCGTAATTCCAGCCGAACCCAGCAGCTTGCTACGATTATGACATGCACTATAAAATTAGATTTGGTGAGCCTCCCCGAAAGTACGCTTTCTGTTTACCCCTTGCCCTGGACCATATGCTTGAAAGTTCGCAAGCGCTTACTTAGCCCCTTGGAATCTATTGACTCAAAATACACCTTCTTCGCCCGGTCGTTGATGTCCTTGACAAGCTCCGGCTTCAGCTTAGCCTTCCGATCAAAACTGTACAATCCGTTGACTTCCTGTTCAACATCGACACTTTTTTTTTTCGTAGATGAACTAGTCAGCTTACGTTTTTGCAATGTGCGCACAAATATTCGTATACCCCCATTCGAGTCTTCCACTTAGCTCATCATAGTTTACACCGGAACCTAGGACCAAATACTTACATTTGAGTGTACACAAACCCACAGCAATGGCCACCGCTGACGACGCCCATCAAGAGCCTTTCCAGCCTAGCAAGCAGGTCTGCGGGATCGCTTGCAGTAGTATAGCCCCAATCACCCTCGCCTTTTGCATTGGGGTTGCTGGGTGCGATGTTTACGCCGCCGAGTTCCGTACACATAACTGGCGCCCCTTTTCGGTGTCTGCTTCCGCCCACAAATGTATGGCGGCCCCCTTTCTTATCGAGTATACCTTCCATAGTCTTGCAGATGTTTGCCAGCGCGGGTCCGTCGCTGTAATCATGGAATGTAGTTAAGTCGCTGCAGACATGCTCCCAGCCGCAGTTGTCATTGACGCTTCGGGTCGGATCCAAGGATCTGAATGTTTTTTTTTTTTTTGGTTAGGAAAACTTAGCAAAATAAATACCAAACGAGGAGGGATTATCCAGAAGGAATTCGACACACTTCGTCATGTAGTAAAGGCTGTGGATATGGTTCTGTTGCTGTACGCTATTCTTAAGCTCAGGGTAACCCCAGGATTCATTGATCGGAGTCCAGGTGACAATGCTAGGGTGGTTGATATCGCGTTTCACTGCCGCCATCCATTCTTCGTCGAACCGATCCACATATGTATCGTTAAACTCGTACGCGTTTGCCATCTCCCCCCAAACGAGAAAACCAAGCCGATCCGCAAAGTACAAGAAGCGCGGATCCTCCACTTTTTGGTGCTTCCGACAGCCATTGAAGCCCATGCTCTGAGCCAATTCAATGTCCTGCTTGAGCGCCTCTGCAGACGGCGGTGTCATCCCAGTTTCCGGCCAATATCCCTGATCTAGCACTAGCGATTGGAAGAGTGGGTGACCATTGAGCCTAAACGTGTTGTCACCGGTGGTCCAATTTAGCTCTCGCATACCCGTTGTCATCCTGACTTCGTCCAAAAGCGTTCCTTCACCATCAAAAAGATACAAGGCAACATCATAAAGAAGCGGATGGTCGGGGGACCACAGGGCAACCCCATCTAGCCAGGCGGTATGATCTTCGAGAGGTGAGTCGTTCAATAGGCTTGCAGGGAGCTTGCCAAGTTGCTCACGGCTTAGTTTGGTACGAACGGTACAATCCACCACGCTGGAATGTTGGGGAATGGAGATCTGCGAAGTTCTGTCCACAACTACTCCGCCAATGGAAACCTGAATCTTGACGTGGTATTTATGTCCAGCTCGCCGACCAGCTACAGCAATGGTACCATGAAGCAATCCGCCATGGATGTCATTCGACCTGAGGACAGTTCCACTGCTACTCTCCGCGATTCTCGCACGAGGCACGCTCTCCAGCCATACAGACTGCCAAATACCGCTAGAGGGTGTGTACCAAATTCCCTGGGGTTTCCCAGCCCAGTACTGCTTGCCTCTGGGCTGAGTTAGGTCATATGGAGAGTCGCGAACGCGAATAGTCACCCTTGCGGACTGTTGCTGAGCTTTGACGAACTCACTCAGGTCCAGATCAAAAGGCACATGTCCGCCTCTATGCTCACCAACATACTGGCCATCAAGCCAGATCGTAGCTTCATAGTCGACTGCACCGAATCGGAGCAGCAGGCTGAAACGTTTGTCAAGCTCTGCTGGCGGGCGAATGTCATCGACTAATCGTTCATACCAAATGACTTCATGGGGCTCGCGCTCCCCGATACCAGATGCAGGGGTTTGGAAGACGTAGGGTACTATAATCTCCCTCTTTTGTAAAGTTTTCCCCTCGCCGCTGTCCTGTCCGGCAGTCACAGCAATTTGCCCAGGGAGACCTCGCCGGTGCCATCCATCTTGTAAGCCGACGTCATCATCATCGTAGAGGAAACTCCAAGGACCATTGAGTGATTTCCAGTTGATGTCCGGACGGGTGAAATCTGGCCGTGGATACTCCTGCATAGAAGACGCCATAATGGGTATATTCAAACTTAGAGCAGGATATTTAAATCAAGGGAAGAAATGGGCGATGCTCTTTTTTATTGCCGCGATTATGTCATAACTACACCGACGCAGCTGCATGGAAGCACAACAGGCCAATAAATTTTCTCCGCAAGAATCTCCCCCGGCTGACCGTGCATGAGAGGTTGAAACAGGTTTGACAAAGATGTTGCTCCGAGTGGGACTACCCCTCCTTTCCCACCTACTATCTATGCCTAGGTACCAGGTTCATGGGTAGAATAATGGATGGAAGCCAAGGCGGCTACGGTGTCTTTTTGGATTGCGCTTTAGATTCCTATGGGGCAAAGCAACTAACTATTTGCCGTGGGGCAGTTTCGGGATGAAGAGGGGTAGAAGAAATTAATTAGGTTGAGTATGAGTTGAGCTACTTTCATGGTGGGGCGATGGGGGGAAGCTACACGCTCTTTTCATAAGATATAGACTTATATACTCTATACCCCCTCTGAAATGGAGGGGAAGGAGATACTCTATATGTAGAGCTACCGAGGCCGAAGTTGCTGGGAAATACCACGATCCCTAAAAGAAACTGAATGTGGGGGAAAATAAGGAAGAGGTTTCATAGACAAGTACATGGCACCTCGTCGATTGGAACAACTTTTCTATATAGAATGGACCACAAAACAAAGTTTATTCAATTCTTGCTACTACTCATCCCTGAGACACCGAGGAAACGCCAGCGGGGAAGTATATCTGAAAAGAAATAGTAAGAGAACCTAGTAGCGATAGGGTGAGGAGTATAATAGTAGACTGTCTTGATTGCGATTTGGCTGGCTAGATGAGAATAAAAGTCGGTCAGGACTAGTGACAACAGCTAAAGAGGATTGATAGTGGCGCTACAGGTTAGTTGATAGATATATTGCGGGAGTAGCTTTTTGAATATTGGGGGGTATTATTGTATATAAAACAAAAAAGGGGTAGCAGGGGGAAATTGTCGAGTTTCTCGAAAGGGCTTGGCATGGCATGAGGAGAGGTGAATACCTGGTAAATGAGCTGGAAGGGATAAAAGTAAGGGGGGAAATGAGAGAAAGGAAATGAAGCAAAAGAGCGAGAGGTCAAAAGATGCCTGCCTGACCAGGTCGAGAAATAGGGGTTTGGTATGGGGGATTGGACATCAAGCAAAAGAACAACCAATGAGAAGCGCTTAGGGTAATGTAAAGAGTTAGACAAACATAGGAAATGTAGCAAGGTAAAGCAAAAGGAAAAAAACAAACTGACAATACAATTCGAATATTAAAAGCGTGCTAACTCTGCTATTTCGCCCTCACCTCTTCACGTTACACCCCCTTTCACCCCTTCCCTCTCTTTCAAGTTGGGAAGGAAAATAAACCAAATGAGGTACAGCAAATAAGAAAAGGTAAAAAATAAATCAATAAAACGGAAAAATATAAGGAAAAGAACATGGTAAAAACAAAGAAAAAATAGAGAGAAAAAATAAACGCGAGTAAAAAGAAAGGCTAATATGGGAATAGTCATTCAGTATCTGTATTCAGAGCGAGATAAAAAAGGAGCAAATAGTAGAGCTGGGTAAGGGTAAGGGGACAATAGAAAAGAAGAAAAGAAAATCTCTGTAAAAAAGACAGCATAAGAAGATAAGGTACGGATTAAAAAAAAAAAAAGACAGAGAGAAAGAAAGAAAAAGAAATGTGAAAGAAAGAACAAGCGCCGGCAAGAATACCCAGGGGAGCGGATTAAGAGAGGAACAAAAGGTGTGATATCTGGTAGGCGAAAGTATATCAGCTTTTCCCCAAACTATTTTTTATATTTTTCAGCTTGTTTGCCGGGTTCGATGGGCAAAAATTGATAGGGCCAGGGTCAGCGGAAACGAATGTGTTGTGAAATTAGAGGTAGAAGTGTAGTGGAGAAAATAAAAAATAATGAGCCCCAACCAAGCCAAAGCACTAAAACCCAACAAGAGGGTTTCATAAGGAGACTATTTCTTCTCTTGGTCTCTCCTCCTTTCTACTATCAGAGATGTTTTGGTCGCGCTCATCTGCAGTTGCCATCGCTATGTTAGGAAAGGTCTCATTATCAGCGGTATCAAATCGCTAGCCACTCAGCACACATCGCTTTGGTTGGGTCTTCGGTTGCCGTTGACTTGTATCCCCATCCCACCCTATTATGCGTTGACCTCGCCGTTCAATTCATCCTGGTGCATGTGGTTGTGGTGCTCGCGTTGCATCCGTGCTTCAATCTCCTTCAATTGACTCTCACGAGCAAGGAGTTCCTGTCGCTTAAGCTCAATCTCGCGTTGCACCTTGATCTCGATCTCTCGGAGTTTCTCCTCCTCTCGGCGAAGCTGCTCCTCCTTTAGGCGGACGGACTGAGACGCAAGGTCTTCAGGGTTCATGGATGAATCTTGGTTACTGTAGGAGTTTGTTAGCGAGCTATTGAAAGGGACAAAAATAAATGCATAGAAGGATAAACGTACGTTCCAGCGCCACCCTCCACGCTCTTGCTGAGTTTCTCGGTACGATAGTTCTCGTACAGGAAGTCGTGTGTGATTTCTTTCAAGTCTGCAAGATGGCTGTGCAACAGAGCACTGCGAATGGCCAAGAAATCTGAGTGACGAGGATTATCAACCTCGACCACACCCCATGGATATTGTCTTGCACGAACTTTGCGGCCACCAATCTCTAGAACATCCTCTGAGCCAACAATCGCAAAGGGCATGAGCCCTCGAAGCTCAGCGTTCTCCTCGACGGTATCTTCATCATCCTCTTCAATGTCATAGGGGAAATTGTACACAGGGATGCGGTAGTGTTCAATATCCTCCATAACAAGCTTTTTCGATTCTGCTAATTCAGCGGGTGTTAGCGAGTCAGCCTTGCCAATGACGGGGATGACGTTGACGCGGGGCGAAAGGCGCTTCATCAATTCAATGTCGAGTTCTCGCAGACCGTGACCAGTTGGCGTGATAAAGTACAACAAAGCATGCACACGGTTGTCACGGAATCGGGGGTTACGCTTGATCCTGGATTCTTCAGCCAAGATGTCATCATATTGACGCTCGAGATATCCGACGATTTCTGAGAAGCTGTGTTATGTAGACATTGATTAGTTCGCGTTATCTAAAGGCTGCTAGGTCGAACTGAGAGGTCTATCTTATCACACCTTTGTTCGTTGTCAATTTGGTCACCAAAACCGGGGGTATCAACGATGGTTAGCGAAATGCGGGTGCCCTCCTCGTCCAGTTCGAGTTCTATATTAACCAATTAGCTTTGGAAGGAGCCCAATTGTCATGGATCAAACACATATTTCTATCGTCACTTACCAACGGTGATGGGTTTGATACGGACGCCTTCCTCGAGGTGGGCATTTTGGGCGTCGTCGGCATCTTTCCCTTGGAGAACTTTCTTTCCGCAAAGTGTGTTTACAAAAGTGGTTCGGCCTAGTAGGATCAGCATATGGAAGTTAGCCATAATCACTGTAAAAAGAAAACACGTAGAGGTGAACTTAGTTCAACGTACCTGTTCCACTGGCACCGCAGACCATCAGACAGAATTGAATTCCCTTTTTAACATTCTTCTTCCGACGGATCTTAATCTGGTCATATCGCCTGTCAGATCGCAGCATGGTCACGACAAATTGGGGGCGGAAAGTAGCGCAGTAGAGAACACGCCAGGCAGACGTAGGTGACAGAGAATAAACAGCTCTTGAATAGGGGAAAGTGGAAGAGATAGAGACTTACAGCGTTGACAGCAGAAGACATGGTGGATTAGGTTGCTGGTGATTTCGAAGGGGACGGTGTAACGGGGGGTTTGGTTGGGAGACAGTGAGGGGACCGGATCTCCAGCAAGGCGAGAAGATCAGGAGAAAAGAAGTAAAAGGGAGAGAATGGACACGCAGCAGAGACAGGGGCAGAGACAGGAGAGCGAGAGAATGGGAGAACGACGAAACGGGAGGATTGGGACACAGATGTCACTGAACAAAAGGGTTGAAGTCGAGATGGTTACTTGAAGCAGTAGGGGGCGTGCCTGTTTTCAGAAGCGAGTGTTTTTGGGCTTGGGGCAGAGCTGGGGCATGCTTACCGCCCCAGTACGCTGCTTACCGCCAAGTACCACCCATTGACGACTGTAAATGTGTATTCCCAGTACACTAGTGGTAAATGACCTAGTTAAGGGGCTCTGTGCTTTGGTGTCGCGCTGGCTGGTATTTGTGTATTGTTTTTACCACGGCTAGTCAGTAGCTGTTGGATGGTTCCTGGTACCAATGTACAGTTACAGTTACGATGTGGATAATTATGGTTCTTCCCCCTTTTCATCTCACCGATATTAACCAATCGGAGGAAACAAAGTCCCCCAGCACGTGATATAGATCATCTGATAGAATACATAGCGTATTTTTTCCCCAGGCAAATTTCCTGCTGAACATATACACAGTTCAGGAGTACGGAGTAGACCGTCGAAGCTCCCGAAGGTAGGCTGCCTGACCTGCCAGCCCAACAGCAGCCTACGGGCGGTACCTGGATAAATTACCTATAGGTGGCTTCTTTTCGATAAAACCCAATCAGTAACCCCGGCATATGGGGCCAGGGCAGGACAAGAACGATGGCCGTGAAACATTCAATGATACCCAGGTACCGACCGTACCAGCAGCCCGGTTCCATGTTTAATGTTGGCGTATTTTTGGATACAGACTCCAATCCGCTAGTACCCATTTGGAAGTCTAGTCTAAATTGGGCTAGTCAATATTTGTTTGACCATTACTGTGTATCGCGTGATGACATAATGATTTACACGTGATTTCAGCCGCCAGATCGATTCGTTTCGATTCGGAGCTTGCCTGCGGGAAGCTTGGACGATAACATTCAACCGCCGCATATATGAAGGCGACATTTGTAGATAATTTCTATTTTTAAAAATATTAAATACCTTCACGAATCTTCTTTTGTCCTCGATTACATGCTACAGATCTTATCGTACTTAATATTTACACCGGTTTTCCTCGTTCTACTTTTTCTTATTTCTTATAGTTACGTTTGAATCCCCGTCGATAATGACATGACCACAACCACCACTTTCTTAACATTATCAGCCAGCATAATTGCTACCTACAACCTATATATTTTGCAGGATGAATACCAGACAAGTTATAGATACATCTACGGGCCCAGTGTCACACTCGGCCGCTTTTAACACGGACAGCTCCTCGTTTTCTGTCGGACTCGATACCGGCTTCTGTGGTATGCTCCCCCAGCTTCTGAGGATCGATCATCCTTCCCCGAGTCTCGTACTATGCGTATCCGTCAGATATCCCCTGTACACTAACAACTATGTACATGCACATATTTTACACAGTTTTTAACTCGGAGCCATGTGAACTCAAAGTATCAAGAGGTGAGATACTTTTCTATACATGTATCTATATCTATTCATCCTGGTCCGGTTCTCCGTCGTGCTGCTCTGGTGGACGCTTGTGACATATTTTTTATTCTCCACGTTTTCACTTGTATTATTGAGTACTTTCCTCTATTGTGTCATAAATAAACAAGTACCAATACTCAATAACAGTAGATTTCAACGCAGGTATCGGGGTGGTAGAGATGCTGGGCCAATCTAATTATCTAGCTCTGGTGGGTGGAGGCCGGAAGCCCAAGTTCCCCCAGAACAAAGTGAGTATCTTACCCAGTCTTTGTCCCCAGTTAAATCCTGTTGATTTTGGATTTTTGGTACCATCTTCAAAAAGGAAAAAAAATGAAAAATAAAATTTCGAAACAGAAAAAAAAAAAAATTCAACCTAATATATTAATTCGTTTCACCCTTATTACAAAGTTGATTATCTGGGACGACGCAAAGCAGCGGGCAGTCATCACGCTCGAGTTCCGCACTTCCGTCCTGCGCGTCCGGCTCTCCAAGTCCCGGATCATCGCTGCGCTCCATAACAGTGTACACATCTTTGCCTTCTCAATACCCCCGCAGAAGTTATCTGTCTTCGAAACCGCAGATAACCCCCATGGCCTGATCTGTCTAGGGTCCAAATTGCTGGCTTTCCCTGGAAGATCCCCCGGCCAGGTCCAGCTTGTCGAACTTGAGACGGGGAATGTTAGTATCATTCCGGCGCATAGCTCGCCATTGAGAGCTATCCACCTTAGTCCCAACGGTGAGGTTTTGGCGACAGCGGGAGAGACGGTAAGTAAACATAATCATCCCTCGAGAACTATTAAGTTTTGAGGGAGGAGAAGATAGTCTTGAACAATGAAAACTAAATTCAGTTTTAAAACGCAGGGAACGCTGATTCGAGTATTTGCCACAACAAATTGCGCAAAGATGGCTGAGCTCAGGCGAGGCGTAGATCAGGCGGAAATATTTTCCTTGGCCATATCCCCCTCAAACACACTTCTGGCACTCACGTCAGATAAATCTACCTTGCATATTTTTGATCTTCCGCATGCTCGCAAAGCTACGCCTCCTGTGGAAGGCGCAAATCAGAAATGGGGTATTTTAGGGAAGCTCCCTCTGCTCCCTCGAGTGTTTTCTGACACTTATTCGTTTGCAAGTGCTCACTTTGAAATTGGTGACGAGGGTCCTCTTGGTTCTGCATATCTCCCTCCATTGGGCTCCTCGCTTGGACGACCATCGAAGGGGGTTATTGGATGGACTAGCGAAACGACGCTTCTGGTGATAAGTGCCGGGAAAGAGGGGAGGTGGGAAAGATTCGTCATTGGACAGGGTGATGATGGGAAGCGGTATTGCGTCAGAGAGGGTTGGAAAAGGTATCTTGGAGGTGGTTGAGGAGCCGAACATATTACGGTCTATTCAGAATGCCGCTTTCTTCACGAGGAATCCACGGGACGCTTTGGGTTCATATGACAATTCCGTTGAAATTTAACGTGGCCGATTGGTAAACTGGATGATCACAACACACATTTCCCTCATATCGTGGAACCGAGAATATATTTCTTGGGTATATCGCATCATCTGAGATCTAGCCGAAACAGTGTCGTGAAGGGCCTTCCAGCTCTGGAAGGACATGGATATGCCCTAGGTGCTGGATAACCTTTCAAGTTGGATCGAGAATGGTACGATCCCTTTCAGCCAAAATTGGATATTTGGATATTTATCAGGGTTTCTCCCGCATCGGACACCGAAGAGAAAATCTTTCTGTAGGTTATTTTCACGCAACAATCTCGTCTCCAGCTCCAAAATGGTCATCTCAGCCGCGAACTCTATCCCGATGGTGTCTTCGTTCTCTCGACTGTGATGGTGACCTTGACCTCTCGCGTCGTGAGGACTTTCTCCCTTCCTCCCGGGAATATGAACGATCATCCCGATGTCTTCGATGATGAGAGCGGTGGTGACGGCGGCGATGGTCATGTTTGTCTTCTCTCTCAGTGCTATCACCCCGGCGTTTCTTTCGGTTGCTTGAGTGCTCCAAAGCCCTAGCTACCTCTTCCCTTTTCTCCTGTATTAGATATTCCTTCATTGGGTCTTCATCATCATGCTCTTCTATAAGCTTCTGTAGCTCCTTCTCCTCCTTCAATAATGGCTTTTGTTGTATCCTCCGATCTTCCGCATCAGTATCACTTTCGCTATGTTTCGTAGTTCTCCTTCTGCGCCCTTCTTTACCGTTATCGTCTCTTCTTGACTCTCCAAGTCCCGTCTCACCAACGGTCAACGTTGCAACATTGTCTTCCAACCCCTCCTCCTCCTTCCTCTTATACCTCACATGGTCCACTCGTATCATTCTGCCTAGAACCGTCGCCCCGCCCAAATTATCCACAGCCAAATCGGTACTCCGCTGGTCCTCATATTTCAGAAATGCGAACCCTTTACTCTTGCCCGTCTCTTTGTCGCGCACTAAGTTAAGATGTACCGGCTCGCCATATTGGGAGAAAATAGTTAGGATATCACCTTCGCTGAGGTCGTAAGGGAGGGACCCGATATAGATGTAGGCTGTGTCGCGGTAGTCGGCATGCCATGAAGCTTCTGGAGGCCTATGATTTTAAACGTAGGGAAAAAGGAGATTCATTAGCCAGGAGAGTTCGTATACTTCGACTAAATCGTATGCTAAATAGTGGAGATGAAGGGCCACACGAAACAAAAAACCAACGAAAGGAAAGAAAAGAAAAGAGAGCCCTTACACGACATTTTCAAGCTCCTTTTTGTTCAGCTCTTGGACCTGGCGGATGGCATTCATTGCGTTTGGAATAGATGGGGACCAATTGACCAGCGTGCTGAATAACAACTCTTATTAATCTTCTAATGACTTCTACCACTCTAGGTTGGTAGAAAAGATTGATTGCGTAAATGGCGTAGTAGCGTCGTCGTGGTAGGGTGGAGTTTTTGGCTTTCGGAGGTTGGAGAAGAATGGTTGATGGATGCGGCGAGCAAAAACGCGTGACATCAGGTCAGAGTGGACAAACAATGAACCAGGGGAACCTTGAACCTTCAGTTTGTTTATTTATTTCAACGACCAATCGATCCGCTTGAAGACAACTTGCGATTATACATTCTGTACGCGCCAGTATCATCTGAGAGGCAGTATAATATTTACGGATTACGCACATGAAGAATCGATCAATCTAGCAGTTTCATCACCTGCGCCCTCCAGCTTTGTACTTCTCCCTTTTCGGTGCCGTTGCAACTAGAGTTTCTCACAACTTATAATTTCTCGAACCAGTGCGATTTTGTCTTAGTTCAAGCTCCCGCGAATCTTTGGTTTCCTTCCTCACTGTACCTACGAAGCGTTGGCATGGTGCCGTCAGCATGGTTGGAATAGGACAACGGTCATCAATTCTGAGCCAGGGGAGCAGGCCATCGAGCAAAGATGGCGCAAAGAAAAATATATGGTCCTCTATGCTGGATGGAGTAGCAAGCGGGAAGCGGTTGCCTGAAAAGAATTTACTGGTTTTGGGTGCGTGTTTTCTCTGCCTTTGAACTTCTCTCTGTATCTTCAAAAGGAAACGTTATGAATGGAGGCCTCATGGATCATGAAAACAAACTACTTCGTTCCTTTCTGATCCAGGTTGGACGCTTTAGGAGGTACGCCGGATAGCCAGAGAGAGTTTCTTGAGACGCTGTCATCAGACGAGTCCGACCCTAGGATGCACTCTGAGCGTCGAAATGGACGAGCGCCTCCCATTGCCAATCAGTTCGCGCTCGGGTACACTTATCAGGATGTGTTGGATGCCGACCAAGAAGGTATATAATGCCAACCATATCTGCGCAGTTGGGTATGTTATTTTACTAACACCCTGTCATAGATATTCTTGCTCGCGTTTCAATCTACCTACTGTCCGAACCTTCGTCGTCCTTCGCACCACTTCTCAAACCGCTTCTAACCCCGAAAACTGTACCAGAGACGCTGATAGTGATATTACTGGACTGGGAAAATCCTTGGACATGGGTTCGGCAGCTACGCGAATGGCTTCGCCTATTACGTTCTGTGCTGATCTCCCTCGATGATGAAACTAAAGTGGTAATGGAAGAAGTTATGACAGAATGGCGAGATCATAAACGAGGTGGTGATCCTGCATCTTCAGCAGGCGGGGGAATGACAACCTCTGGTGGACCAGTTACAATCCCTCTTGGTCCTGGAGAGTGGGATGAAGGATTAGGGATCCCTATGTGTGTTGTTTGTCAAGGCGTATGTGAAATTTTGGACGATTCTTTTTCCACTCACTTGAATTCAGGGGGCTGCTAACACTATTATGTGACTGTAGGCAGAAAAAATTGAAAAGCTGGAAAAAGAGCATGGCTGGCATGAGGAAGAGTTCGACTTTATTCTGCAGTTTATGAGAACGATCCTGCTAAAACGTATGGCTTTCCTTCAGCTCTCAACTCACCTACATACTGACCATCCTACGCCTTATAGACGGCGCCTCGCTCATATACACAACACCATTCCTTGCCAACTCGTTACAAAGCTTAATCCACTCCTCTCTTGGGATTCACTCGTTACTAAAGAGACAATCTCTGAAACACAATGTCATTGATAGAGATAAGATATTAATCCCGTCGAACTGGGACTCATGGGGGAAAATCCGAATAATCAGAGAAGGGTTTGATATGGAAGGAGTTGGGACAGGCTGGTCCATCGAGATTCAGGATAAGCCCAAACAATTCCACGGAGTATCCGAGACTGATGGTAATCCCGATGAAGGAAACGCTAGAAGCAATCCTGAGCAAGAGGCTATGGAAGACGGCAGCAGCGCCACGCTTATCTACGAACAAACCATCCGAGATCCTAAGCGGGACCTATCCATTGCCCGAAGTTCCCAGCCCGGAGGGGACAAGGCGATCGAAGTTGAAACGCGGGATATGCAATCCTTTTTATCCGACCAACTCCAGGTTCTTGATCAGCTCAAAGCTGAAGACGAGCAGCGAGACAAGCAGTTGCGCAAGGGAGGCTTGCTTAAGGATCAGGAAAATAATATCTCTCTAGACGAGCCCTCTCGTGTGAATGAACACATTGGACCCGTGCAGTTTAATATGGGAGGCATTCAAGTTGATGCAGATGATATGTTGAGAAAGCTGAAGGTAAAAAACTATTCTCCCCTCCAGGCATGGATACCAAACACACCCCCGTTTGGCTAACTGCTCCATCTCCCATCACAGGAACGAGAAGCGAATCGAACGCCAGTTCGCCAAGATACTTTACCCCAAACACCTACAACTTCTCCAGGAAGTGGGACCGGCGACGACAAAATGCAGAATCAAGCTCTTGCGAGCTTCTTCGCCGGTCTCGTCAACAAGAAAACAGCCGGGAGTCCGCGCCCCGGTCCGAATTATTAGCTTGATCCGGGATATATATCTTCCCTGCTTGGTTTCGATTTTGTTTTTGTTCTTCTTGAAAGGTTTTCTCTCATTTCCTACAGAGAAACAGCAAGGTTACGACATAGCTGAAGCTAATTAAGGGGCCATGCAAAAGGGGGCCTGTTATTGTTCTTTTACCCCTTGATGTGTTCCCTACCTGCCGGGTCTTGAAAGCAAAGCTAGAGGGAATAATAATGTTTGCAGTAGCCTTCCTTGGCTTGTTAGAAAGTTCACATAATACCCACGCTTCGAGTACTTTCCATACTTTTTCTCTTTTCCCAGTCCTTTGCTTCTCTTGATTTGGTGATGTATTGTTTAACGGCATTGTATTACCTTCCTCAAGCTTTAAGTCCACTCCCTCCGAGGGACTCACCACGAATAAGGCTTGCACGCAATGAAAACATACTGCTCTAGAGGTAACGTGGGATCAGAAACCCGTGGTGGAAATCCCCTTTAGTTAGGGCCAAGCCGGGTATATATATATGGCAAAGAATAAGAGAATAAGAGTGTGATATGTATATACAATTAAAAGAAAAGGGACAAAAATATCCGGAAAGGTGAGCATAGATCAATTCAAAACGGCATTTGAAGTAGAAGTGTATCTAGACTGAAAATGTATTGAGAATACACCTGCTACATCGGGTTGATATGTATGCACGTGGGCGAATTAAATATTAGGCCCAGCATCAATATCCACCACGGGCACAACCGTGTCGGTTAGCTTAACTGCGTCGGGGTTGCTTGCTTCAATACCCGAATATTTATTAACCCAGCCGAGAACCTGTTGATGCCAGACCAGGCTGTTCTCTTTGCTGAGAACCCAGTGGTTCTCATCTGGGAAGTTGAGGAAGCGACTCGGGACACCCCGTTCCTGGAGGATGTTGAACAGAGAGAGACCCTCAGCCACAGCAAGACGGTAGTCAAGATCGCTGTGGATGACGAGCATGGGGGTTGCAAATTGCAGGATATTTTCAGGGGCGGAGGGATCGAAGCGTTCGAAGTTCTTGCGCGCTTCCCAGAAGGTGCCGTTGAACTGATATTTATACGTTAAAAGGGCGATATATTGTAGGAAGAGACAAGTTGATAGGAATCATATGGATTTTGCTGGCGTTGGTTAGGGATAACGTACCTCACGTTCCATAAACCATAGTTCTTCGGTGGCGATCTTAGCTGCTGCAACGAAGGTGCCATCATGGGAAACGAGAGCTTTGAACTTGCGACCGAATGGCATCCCTTGGATCCAGTTGACCATGAAACCACCGTAGCTTGCTCCGAGAGCAACAGCATTATCGGTATCAATATATTTAAAATTTTCCTTAATATATTCCCAACCCTTGACAAGGTCATCATAGGGAGCTCCACCTGTATCAAAATAATACATTGTTAGCGGTGAGGGTATTTTAAAGAGCAGGAGTCGCGCTTGGCGGGTCTGATCTTACCCCAGTCGTTCTGAATTCTGTCACAAAATTCTTCCCCGAATCCGGTGCTGCCTGTGGGATTGAGTGCCACCACAACGTAGCCTTGATCCGCAATAACCTTCGGGTTCCATCTCGTGCTCCATGAATCTCCCCATGATCCTTGGGGCCCACCGTGGATAAGGAAAGCGAGAGGATATTTCTTAGTTTCACAGAAGCCTTCAGGTTTCACAATCCAGGCATGAACCTATTGATCCGTTAGTTAATCATTGGCAAATGCGAAGATATAAAGAAGGACCAACCTTGGTCCAATTTCCATCGTAGTAGAACTCATCGATATCTTCAGGCCCCAAGCCCTTCAATTCCGGATCATGTTCGTTTGCAGAGAACAAAACTTTGGGTTCATTATCAGGAGATGCAATGGTGTAAATGGCGTTAGACCAGAGAGTAGTTGCGGTAGTAAGAACGGAAGTCGAGTCCTTGAGGAAGTGATAAGCGCGAACAATACCGTGGTCTGTGAAGTTTTCGGGTACGTAATCCGCGCCTGCATCGGTGGGTAGGGTAAATAATCTACCACGAGCTCGGTCCTCGACAGACATGTATAAAGTCTTTCCGTCGGGTGTCCATTTAAGGCTGTCTGGGGACCTATCCCATTTACTAGCAAGGCTGACAATCCTGCCTCCGTCCAAGGTGGCAATATAGACGATTCTGCGGTCAGACTCGTAGTTGCGTTCCTCCATTTGAAGATATGCGATCTTCTTGCTATCGGGGGAAAAGACGGGACTAGATGAAGCACCAACAATGCCATCCGCAGCAGCGGAACTCTCAGGTCCATTAATGGGAATAGCAACCGAAGACCCATCGTGAGGTACAATGAAGATGTAGCTAGTGGTGAGGTTGGCCTTGGGAAGCTCTGGAGCTTTGCTCATGAACGCAACAGTCTTCCCATCCGGGGACAGATCATAGTCGCCCGCGCCTCCAAATGGTGGGCCCGGAGATTCAGCATACTTTACGGGAGCAACAAGGTTGTTGAGCTTCCCGTCGAAAGTGTACTCATGGCCGCGTCTTCTCTCCAACGTTCCGGAGAAGACAGCATTGAATTCTGTAGTCAACCAATAATCCCAATGGCGAGGATAGAGACTGTCGTAAATGCGAGCTGAGCTCAATCGCTTCTCTGCCTGCTCTTTGTTGTAAAGTTTACCATCACTTGTCGATTGACCATAGGCTACGAACTTGATATCGCCTGATCTGGTCTTCACAGCCTTGAAACCTTGCAGGGGACCATTAAACGAGGCAACCTTACGACTGTAGCAACTGTTAGCTGTTGCACTCGTGGCGAACAAATGTAGCCGAGAAACCTACCGTCTTTCAAAACGTCTAACATCAGAAGTCCATAGGTCAACCCCACCAGGCACCTCCGAGCTGGTGCTATTGACATAGAGAATTTCATGGCCGTCCCTGTCTCCCGGTAGCCAAAGGATCTCCGAAACACTGCCATCGTCGGTGAGAAGGCTAATGTCCCCTGTTTTCAAGTCAAGTAAATTCCACTCGTTTTTGATGGTATCATGCTTTTCAAATGAATATTGAGAGACGTGAAAAACAGCCAGTTTCTACAGCAATTGAAGTCAGAGAGTATGAAACCAAATAAATACAACTGTGACCACACGAGCAAAATGGTTAAAGAAGGGAAAAAGAAAGAAGAATCACTCACTCCTGATGGATTCGGGATCGCTTCAGCTCGTCGAGGAGCCGAGATGAACTGCCTATACACCCAAATTGTGTGAGTATGATACACTAAAGAATCATTCAATCAAACCGAACATATATTGTAAACAAATGAAGCTTACTCAGGGGTCATCGCCAGCGCCGATGACATCAGCGCCGCGGCGGAAAGCCATGATAAAATAGCCATGGTGGGCGTGGCTTCGCTCAATAAGGGCTTGAATACCCAGCGTAGATTAATCCCAGAAGTAACGAGCTTAATATTGAGAATAAGAAGCACATCACGACAACTGGCGGCAGGGTCGTATATGTATATTTATGTTCATGGGCTGGGAGTACGGATCTCCGCCTGTAGAGTCTGGAGACACAAACAGGGACGTCGAGCAGAGCCTTTTTTTTTTTTTTTTTTTTTTTTTTTGCCTAACCCCATATTTAACCGTACTGCTGCTTGAGGCCCAGACGGAGCAGTCCAGGGTTATGGGTTCCCCTCTCTGGGGTGGCATTTCCATCTAACTACCTCCCCATTGCGGACAAGCTTCGCGAAGGCTGCATGATGTTCTGATGCCGAACCTGGAAGAGGCTGCAGCCAGTCGGAGGGAGGGAGGAGCAAGTCCCAGGTTCCCCATTTCCCGTCCCCAACCGCAAGCCAGCTCTTGTCGATCTGGGCGTGGAGTTAATGCAACTGTCTTTTGAGCCAGATCTGCATCATCACGTTGAACCTGGAACGATCTGTAAACATGCGGGAAATGAGAAAAACACAAAATGAAATTGAAGATAATATACAGAAATTATTATTTTCTTGCTATTTTTTGTTTAAACTTTAATTAACTATACAATGTAATCCATCACCTATAGGCTATTCATATAAATCATCTACTCATACATCTGTTTACTACTTAATAACTCTGTAGTCAAATTTCATAAAATTCACAAAGAAAATTAAGTTAATTATATTAAGAATTATATTTAGAGTATGTACAGAGGATTCTCTCAAAAGGTTTGATTAGTGCTAAGAATTTAAGCTATAATACTATTATATTTCATTCTCAAGCCTCTGGGATTTGAACTAGCTTTAGTTAAGCTGTAACTGTGCCAAGCACACTCACTCTCTCTAGTGAGCGCACCTCAGCACTGTGTTTGAGATCAGGACCAAACTTTACAGGTTACACGTCAACTGACTCCTTGTTCTTGGAGGATAACGTTGTTGTGTTGTGTGTGTGTAATCTATCTACGCGAGTTACACTAAATGGATAGGTTGGGGTGGCACGTGACTAGGGTAGGTGTAGTAATCACCAACACCCCCCCTTGCTACACTGTGGCCTATAATAAGCCGCCACCCGGGGCCTCCCCCATCCTCAAATCTTTCAAAAATGCAATAATAATTAATTACATGAATCAGACCCTGATTTCCTCATTAGGAAAGGCGTCTGTACAGCAATAACTGTAAAAATCAAGAAATACATGCAAAATCCATTGATCTGCTGTATTATTATTATCATTCAATCATTCCTTTCTGATCTCTTTCAAACCAATCCTTTTGACAAAATCTTCAAACACAGGCTTCATCAGTGACTTGGTGAGCCCGTCAGCTATGTTCACTGTAGAATCAACATGTTTCATCATGATTTCCTCTTTTTCAATCAAATTGTGAAGAATATAATATCTAATCTCAATGTGATGCAATCTTCACATTAAGAATTCTCTCTTTGCTAGATCAATTGCTCTCTTATTATCAACTCATAGATGTGAGCATATTTTCACTTTTCCATCATTCATCAACTCAGTATTATATAACATATTATTCAATCAGATTATCTCACAAGCTGTCTCACTAACTGCAATATATTTGACTTCTGTGATTGATTTAACAATAGATGTCTGTCTCTGCAATCATCATGAAATCAGTGACCTGTTAATCAATATAACATAGTCAGTAGTCAATTTGTATTGAGAATCTGCCTTCATTCAGTCTGAATCACAGTATGTCATAGAACTCAGGTCATCTTCTATCTCCTTCTTGTACAATATACCATGGTTTTTTGTCTTCTTGACATAATATAGAACATGCTTCAATGCTGTCCAACATGTCTTATACAGATGTGAGTTAAAATATAAGAGATAGTTAATCATGAACACCAGATCTGACCAGCTGCTTGAGATTAAATATTGTAATGATTTCAATTCTTGATAATATCTCATAGCTGTAAAGTCATCATTCAATCCTTCTCTCTCATCAGATGAGAATTCCAGTTGTATATCAGTTATCATTGAGATGTCAGCTGAATTTATCTTATTCATGTCAAAATCTTCAAGAATCTTCTTAATATAACAGCTCTGTGTAATCACTAAATCATCATTTCTCTGACATTTAATCTTCATTTCAAGATATGACTTAGTCTCTTCAATATTCTTTGTCTCAAATCTCTTTGCAATCTCTTTTAATACTCAGTTTAATTGCTGTTCTTGAGATCTCATCACCTGACAATCATTAATATATAATATCAGATAGATCTTATAAACAGAGTGATATAGAAATCTGTCATCATAAGATAATATCTTGAATTTCAATGTGATGAGGTGTTTCATTGCTAGAAAATATCATACTTTCACAACTTACTTCATTTCATATAGACTCTGATAGAGTAGTCTCACTAAGTTCTCTCTGTTATGCTTAACACCTGTAGATAGTTGTATATAGATCATCTTATTCTGTGATAGTGTGTTATTTAAAAATGCGGATACATAGTCAATCAATTTGATCTTTCATTCTTTGACAGTTAATATAGTAAATAGACTGTGTGATGTAGGCTCTGATATCACTGCAGTATACAATCTTATATAATAAATACTCTGCTGTTGCAAGAACTCTCTAATCACTCAGCAAGCTCTAAAGTGAATGATTTTCTTCTTATTATTGAATTTTCAATCATATACTCATTTATCTGTAAGAATATTCATTTTCAGAGCCTTCTTAACAATAATATATATCTTCTTCTATTCAAATATCTTAATCTTCTTTTTTATTATCTCATGTTAATAGTCTCAGTCTGAGCTTCTCTTGACTTTCATCAGCATAGTTAATCAGTCTATCAGAACACTTAGAATAGAATCATTCTTATTAACAGAGTCTTCAGACTCTTCATTTATAACAAGCTGTATTTTATTATCTAGAAGATAGATTGAATTAATTACACTCTCTAAGTTCTTATTTACAATTATCTTTAAAACATCTGACTTTTTCTTCACTAGATATTATAGTAAGCAGTGCTGTCATCTCTCTCTGATATTCAGAATATTCAATTCATCAGATAATTCATTGAATTCTCTCACTGTATTTACAGATGTATTTACACTCATGTCAAGAGCTTCATTAAATATGACATCTCATGCAATCTTAAGATAATATACAACAGAATCTCACACACAATATTGATATAATTCTTGATATTCAATTAGCTGTCATTTCCTGCTATCAGTTCTATCTGTAAGCTTATTCAACACTTTTAAATTCTTTTTATAGATCTTGCACTCTCATCTCTGTATTCAATGAATAGAAGATTGCATCTCAGTTCACACTTTAAAAGATATAAGTAATGTTTCTTTCTTATATTTAAATATCTTTATTAATATTGAGAATGTGTTGATTATCATGATTATAACTTGTATTACTTCATCTCAAAGTTCTCTTTCTAATTCACTATTAAATAGTAGGCTTTATATCTTTTCTACAACTATTCAATTCACATGTTTCACTGAGTCATTTGATTGTGATATATCAGATATAGTCATTTCATATATTATTTCTTTGCTCTGATAGTAGGTCTTAAGTTCTTGACTTTTGAACTCTTCTTCATTATCTCAGTGTAGAGTTCTAACTCAACATTGTATAATTATCTCAATACTTATGATAAAGTTCATTAATCTTGTAGTAGATTCTCTCTTTCTTATTATAAGAATTGTTCATCTATAATAGATTATATTATCTATTATACTTAATCAGTAGCTTATATTCTCTCTAGTGAGAGTGTCATTTCTGTTGAAAAGTGTTTTTCCACTCTCTGCCAGATTAATGAAGAATCTCATTACTAGCTTAACAGCTCATATCATAGATATAAAAGTTGAATATGTTATTTTTATCTGAATATAGACTTTACAGAATGATAAAGCTCATTGATCAATAATTCTCATCTCTAGACATGAATCTACTATCATTTTTACAATATTCACAGAATTTAGATATTCTAGCTTTTAATATTATTGCATCATTATAAGTTCTATAATCTTTATATCATTTCTTTCAGATAGTGTCAATATTGTGTTATCTTTCATCTGTAATGTGTTTGCAGGTTCAAAATCATTATTAAGTATAGTAAATCAGATCAAGTCTCTGTATATAACTAGTCTTTTCATCTCATAGATATCATTCTCATTTAATCTTACTGTAAATGAGAATATGTGATCAGGAGATATAATTAACATAGTATAATTATTCTCATATATCAACTGCTTATAGATATAACTCTGACATACAAGCTTACTTATACTCATAAGGTTCACTTCTAACTTCAGAACATAGTGAATATCATTTAACAGCATATTTATCTCTTTTACTGAAATCTTCATATCTTCTATAGCTGTAGCAGAGATTATCATTCTGTCTGTTATTTTCAACATCACTTTCATCTTCTAAGGTTTTGTCACAACAAGATCTCTGTGAGATGTGATATGAGCATCTAATTCAGAGTCTAGAATTCAGGTATCTTTTCCTGTCTGATCACTTGCATAGACCTTTTCTTTGATGTAAAATACTTGCTTCATGACATTGTGAACAGAAGCAGCACCTGTATTCTTTACATCCTTGTCTTTATTCTTGTTTCTATTGATGTTGAAATTCGAATTTGAAGAATGTTTCTCAGAATATTTCTTTCAACAGTCAGTCTGAATATAATCAAACTTTTGACAATGATAGCAGATCCTCGCATCATTACCTCTACATTCAGGTTTGAATTCAGTGTTCTTGTTCTTGTCATTATCTTTCTCTTTATCCTTGTCTTTCTTATTCTTATCTTGCGCGTTGTTGGTAGGATTTCTAGACACATCAGTATTTGTGTAAGAAATCCCGCTTCTCGCGGATCCTTTACCTCTATTTCTATCTCTCATGTAACCAATAGGGCTAGCGGCCCTTGACTA